GTGTGTGTGTGTGTGTGTGTGTGTGTGTAATCCGAATAGAAAGGGTACACGTTGTATTCGAATACAACGCGTACAATTTCTATTCGGGTTGCTCTGCTATTCGAGAAAAGTGCACCCACAACGTTTCAATTTTGAAAAAGGCTTAAGGACCACGGCCTCCTACGGGCAGCTACCGGTACTGGTGGTTTAAGGACCACAGCCTCCTCGGCCTCCTACGGGCCGGCTACCGGTCCTACGCGGTCCTGACCGTTGCAAGGCCCCAAAACCTCAAAATGCCCACCCTCCTTACAACCACGACGTTGAAATTTGATTGACGTTGAAATGTCTCAAGGGGGGAAAACGCAACCTTGACGGGCTGCGAACTTCAAGGGGACCAACCCCCTTGGAAATACGAATTGCACGCCTGAGAATGACAGAATCAGCACTGAGCTGCTCCTAACAGGGAGCGGTGGAGCACAAGCTCCTTTGGGAACCATGACACTCATTGACTTACCGTGAGGACACGAGTGTGCAGCCTGTAGTTTGTATATGCTTGATTGATAAAGGAGGCGTTATTGGTGAGGTTTAGAAGTAGGGTGATTGTGACATGAAAAAAAAAGAGTATTTGTGTGTTCGCAGCCCGTCAGGGATGCGTTTTATACCCCTGAGAACATTTTTCGTCGTCCTTTGTTATACGGTCGTTGGAAGGCTGGAAAAACAAGGGATGGCAGTTTAGGGGGTGGTGGCATCTTATTTGAAACTGCCGGACCGGTAGCTGCTCGTGGGACCGCATGGGTTTTGGTCCAAGACCTCGTAGGACCGGTAGCTGCACGTAGGAGGCCGAGGAGGACGCAATCCTTTTTCGAAATTGAAACGGTGCAGGTCCACTTTCCTCGAATAGTAGAGTCCCTTGAATAGAAAACATACACGTTCTATTCGATTACAACCTGTACCCTTGCTATTCGGATTTCAAAAAGAAAAAACTCTTGTATTCCAATAAAATTACTTATTTTTGTTGGAGGTCAGCGCCTGCCCTTGTGCTCCCCGCCACTGACATGCTGCATGCTGCAGGTCTCTCCCTCTCTCTCTCTCTCACACACACACACACACACACACATAC